AGGGCCACTAACTGGATCTGAAGCACTGAGCACATTATTATCTGTTTATTATAGCAATTTTTCATTTTAATGTATCTTCTGACAATTCACTTGAATAGAGAAAACAAATAACCACTTTATCAGATTGGATTTAAATGCACCATTGACATGGATAACCAGCAAAAACATTAGATTTTAATAATGCCAACATGTGTGCATTTTACATCATACTACTCAATACTCACGCTATCACAAAGCATTTTTTTTTATTTTTTTTATCTAGAATACAACACAGGTCAGTACATACAGTTATTGGCAACACTTTATAAGAACTATGCTTTTAGCCTTAATAAAGCTTAAACAAAGAGGTAAGGCTTAACTACTTATAATACCATAACCCAAACGCCTAACCCTATCTCTTTATTTAATTAAGTCAGGGGTGTCCAAATTTTTCATCAAGGGCCACATATCTAAACACAGATAAAGCAGAGGGCTGATCAAGAGCTGTAGAATGGTGCTTATTACAGTGAATAACTGAAATATGTGCATGTTTTTACACATTAGAATGAGCCATCAGTCTATATTAGCTTTATCAAGGTCAATTTTCAAAAAAAAAAAAATTGAGTAAAAAGTACATTTTTAATTGATGCAAGGTAATTTGGACCAATTTACCTGGAAGTATGTGGGCCAAAAAAAAAATTGTCTGAGGACTGCATTTGGCCCACGGGCCATAGTTTGGACATGCCTGAATTAAGTAGTTACTAAGCTAAAATCATTCTGAAACTATTCTGAAACTTCTGAATGTTTGTTCTGGATTCTTAAAGGATAATCAAAGTGTTGTTATAATAATGTTGTACCCAGCTATTTATTCTGTTTTAATTTGAGTCTGTCAGTATATGCTATATGCTGATGCGAATTCTATATGATTACAAAATGTGAAAATAAAACATATCTTCAAATGTGCACCAGCTCAATGACTGCACTATTTACTGAAGTGTTACAATCAGTTTTGGCTGTCAGTATGCTGGAAACATTCCCAGGTAACACTGAGCAAAAAAGTGTGCTCTGATCTCATTTAATACAAACATGAGAGCAAAAGTTGAACTTATAAATTTAGTAAAGGCCGATTCTGAAGTCAGAGGTACAGAGGCATCGATCCACACAGACACGGGTCATAGCCAATCTGCTGCTACAGAGATAAGTAAGCACTTATGCATAGGCCTGTAAGACCTCCCTAAGTCAGACACAAACTTCCATATTCATTAGGCTTCTCTCAGGCATGAGGCACCATAATGCACTATGGTCATTAGGCCGGGGCATGTCGTCTCTAATTAATAAGAGTTTATAACAGTACTTGGTCTTTCGGGCATTTAAAAAAAAGACATGCATAGTATAGATAGTATGTTTTTATTGAAGTAGTTTAAAAGTAAAATAAGTTGAGGTGAGAGTAACGTTTAGTAAAATTAAACTTATTTTAGGTTTAATGAAATTGTAATTAAAACTGTCACAAATCTGTTTTTATGTTTCTCATACAACCAGAGCTAAACATGTAGCTATGTTTGTTGCTGTGAGGGAAAGGGCTAATACTGATTATGGCAGAAGAAAATTGAGCTTGGCATGAAATATGATGTTTAAGAATGAACCAAATGTCATGTAAGGGAATTATACAGATTATAGTCCATGTTTTTATGTTTGCATTCCATGTTTTCATCTAAGAAAATATTCAGCCTGCCGTATGAATAAGTCATAAATTTGACAATGGATAGAATTTTAAATGTCTGTTGTAATGGGAAAACACAGACTGATTTATTCATTACTGGGGCCAAAATACCCAAGCCAGGCTGATTAGTGCTTAATATTCCTGAGCATGCACAATCAAGTTAGAGGCTGGTGATGGTTACAAATGACCCAGATATGATTTGTCATTAAAAACTGTATTTTGTCAAAATTAACAATCAGTACCAAGTTGTTGTGGACTGGGGATGTGTGCATGTGTGAGTGCTGCCCTTGAGTTGCTGGCAGTGGAGATGGATGAGCTGTAATTACTCTGATAGAGAGATGATCGGAGGAGGGGAAGAAGAATACCGTGAGGAGGAGGAGGAGGAGGAGGTGGAACAAGGTTGTGTATGTGTTTGTCCTTGGAGAAGTACACATCATGTCAGCAAACTTCTGCTTTTAAATGTTGTCAAAAGGAGGACAGTATCAGCCAAATCAGAGGTGGTTTAATATATCTCCAATAGAAGCACATCTCAAATCATAGACATGCTTCTAGAGACTGTGCTTGGTGCTTTTTCATTCATACTCTATCTTCTATTTTTGAAGAATATTAGATTAGATCATAAGACAAAAGTCTGTTTCGTGGGTAAGATCAACAGCCCAGATCGTTGTCAAGCTAAAGTCAGTGAGTCTATTGTCCAACTAGCAGCAATAGGCTCTGAATTCCACCATTAAATATTGTAACTCAGTCTGCCCTGAACAACCTCTCCAACACATGTGGGCATAATTGATAATATAACCACATATAAAAAGACAGTCTGGGGGGGTCTCTCAAATGCCTGTACGGTGTAGCTATAAAAAAACAACATTAAACATTTATTTCTTGTGTAGAATAAATTGAAGCAGCCAGAGTTGTAAAGAAGAAGCATGACACTGGAGTTTTAAAACTTTTCTAAGGAGAAGTTTATTTACCATTAATAAACCAGAACTGGACCCAGGACCAGAAACATTGTGATAGTATTGCCCATTCCAGTCTTGTCCTATCTTATATTATATATTATATCTCTGATGATATAGGCCAAGATAACAAGGACTGAGCTGGCAGTGTGGGGCTGGGAATTCAGTTTCAAATCAAGTGGCCTAAATTATTAAATTGAATTCCAATGCGCATACAACATAAGCTAAAACCACTGTTGTCTGGAGAAGTCAGTCCTTTAAGTCAGTGCTTTGTTGTTTGTGCAGTTATTGCCATGTCATTTTCTAACCTTTTCACAGTATGTCACTTTCTATAGTGGACAAATTCAGAGGATGTTTTTTTTTTTTAAGGGTCATAGGCGTTAAGCACTATGTGGTTCATGATGAGTTGAAGGAAAGGGATTCAAATGTAGAAATAAACACAGCACTTTGTAACATATCTGTGCCACTTTTTTCTAGATATGCTAAAGCTAATATGATTAAACTTTTTAAAGCATAATAGAGATCTGATTCAAATAAGATGATGTATCATGTTTACTAGTAAGTGTTCATTTTGGACATACGTGGTGATCTGATCCGAGGATATAGCCTCACAGTGCTGTTTAGAGCTTGTGATATGTTACGCAAAAGCTAGGAAGAATTACAGATGTAAAGCAAATCTAAATAAAACAGAACAGGGAAAAGGTAAAAACTGGAAATGACTTGATCTGTACAAAAATCTGTATCTGTGACCAAAACCAAAAGACTGTAGTATTGTGGAATTTCCGTTAATGTTTTTCCATGGCAAAATGTCTGTGGACATATCTTTCATATTCTCCACCAAATCTGCCTACCTCATCACCAGATCTTCAACCAACAAGGTCAACAAAGGATATACATTTTTCCATGAAGAATTTATCCACAACTATCAAGGTAAGAAAGACAAAATCTTAAAGGTAAAGAGTGACTAGCATTAGTGAACTACTCCTGAGCAAAAGTAATGTTATTATTACTGAATAAAACATAAGTAACTTGGTAACTATGTCTGATTCAACAATTAAAATTAAAAATCTATTTCATGATGTCAATATTAGCATAAACGCTACAGATGTTCACATATTACATCTGTAAATGTTTTTTAATTTTAATTGTAGAATCAGTCTGAGTTAACAAGTTACTTATGTTTTATTCATTACCATGACTTTAGTTTTGATCAGGTATACAGTACTTCACTAATGCTAGTCATTGTTCGTCTTTAAGCGTTCATCTTTCTTACCTTGATAGTTGTGGATAAATTCTTCATGGAAGAATATGTCCTTTGTCGACTTTGCTGGTTGAAGATTTGGTGATGGAGTTGGCAGATTTATTAAGCTGGTGGAGAATACACGACACATTGCCACAGACTTTTTGCCATAGAAAACCATTAACTGAAAGTTCCACAACCCTACACTTCTGGCCATTGTGAAAAAGGTCTTTTGAAACAGCATATTTCAACTCTACCTGTCAAATCATCAAGCACAGTACAGCACAGTAGGGGTGCATGAGAAGTTGTGAGTTGAGGCCTGCTGCCTATAAACACATTTGAATTACTGCGATCTAAAGCTATATTTGGTTTTACAGTATGCTAACAAGGCCCAACAGAGTTATAAAAGTACAGTTTACAATTTATATCATCTGTAAAATAGCAGAAGAAAAAATAGCTGTGCTCCAGATGTGAAAGTGCAGCATCACTCTCTGCAGCTTTTGTCCCACAGCTAAAATAAACCACGGCTGCCCTCAGTCGCGTTAAGAGCCATTTTCACACAAATACCATCTATTAGCTTCACTTATCTCCACATGCCTCCAGTACAGCTTTTCAGGCACATATCAAACTTCCTGTGAGTCAGTCACACCAGGACTCTCACTGCTGCCTCAGGAACCTCTCGGGGATCACAGAGCTGACCTTTTTTGTAATAGCAACTTTTTGGCTAGTAAAACAGCAAAATATTTTCACAATCAAATCAAAATCACTATCAAAATTCTCAAACCGCAATGGGTGCAAATACTACATGGCTAGCTACTATAGTAGCCACAGCTGCCCTGGGGCAGACTAATGCAAACAAGGCTGTGAATTTGTGCCATTGGCCCTCCGACCACCACCAATCCCTCATGCACACAATACTTTCAGTAATACTTCTCCAGCCTTATTGGTGGGGGCACCACTGCTCTAAACACTGAGCCACTGTTGCTTTCTTTGTAAACTTTGTCAGAAATTTGAAGTAAGAAATAACCCAATGAAATTGTTTTGTTGTTAAATTTTAAAATCGAATGATTACAGCAAATGACACCAGCTGAAGCTTGCATGCCCTCACCGTGACTCCGCTGTCTGCCTGCGTCTCTCTGTAGGTGAAGTTGCACACGGCCCAGGCCAGGTAGTAGGTGGACATACGAGGGGTGCGGCTGAAGCGGTTGGTGATCCAGCCATCCTCCTCACTCAAAACACTGCTCTCGACCGGCATGTTGGACAGAGAGAGGTACTGCGGGTCATGGCGCAACGTCAGGGAGAAGGTGGCCTTGTAGATGGGCTCATCAAAGCAGGGGAAGGCTTTTCGGGCGTGGATTGGACTGAACTGGGTCACGGCCAGGTATCTGTTAGACAGAGGATTTTATCACAATTTAAAGTAGCAATTGTGGTTGACATTTTACATAAATATGGCTCTCATATTTCATTTCAAAAAAATTAAAAAGATTGAGTGACTTGTCATGTTTATTCAAATTTTGAGACTGTGTTTCAGGAGCAAATTAACAACTGCAATAACTTTCACTTTCAATGATCTCACATGACACTCTATATATGAACAACACACTCTGAACATCTGCTTTATGGCTAAAGAGCAGTTATTGTGAAGTTATGTAGTAGTTTCTAGGGGAGTAAAAAAAAGGAAGTTGTTTTTTTTAATTACAAAAAAAAAAAAAAAACATTCAGAATTTCCTGGGACCTCATGCAGGAAGCAATGCTGGTATTGTTTATACAGTGTTCGGAGGCTGAACTATTACAGAACATGAATTAATTTTCTCCATTTGCATCCTCAGAAATGGCAGGTCAGCATGTTTTTGAAGAGTTGGCAAAAGCAAAGCATGAATCACAGAAGAACAAACAGTAAGTGTATGCAGCAAAAGAGAGGCATTATGCTTGTGAGAGCCAGGTCCAGTCATAATGCATTTGTAACCATGACAACAGCCTTGCATGAATACAATCCTTATCAAAGACCAAGTTTTATTAGAATAAATCAAGGTGGGCTGAAAAAAGTTAGTCAGTGCTCACCCAGAAAACATCAAGGGCAAAACAACAGGGAAGTATCAATAAAACCAAACAGAAACCATTTTGTCCACACACACGGAAACATTCTGGGACAGCAAAATATTTCTTGTTTTCCTGAGCTGAATAGTCATTTATTCTAAACTCTCTCAGCAAGAGAAAAAAAAGCAAATTAATAAAGAGTAGGTCTGGGCCATATGGCAAAACTGAATTTTCATTTTATTTTTCTTTACCCAATGCATATCAATATTCAATGAACATAACACAGAATGTTTGCCATATAACACAAAAATTGTCAATTATCACACTTCTTCATCCAAAGTCTGAACCACATGCTGCTCCAAACCACATGCTTTTACTGATAGAAGTTGGCTGTAGACCCAAGATTGTTAGGATTAGAAATAACAATAAATCACAATCTGGGTTCAAATTCCATTAATCACATCTGTATTCAAAAGCATCCATTACAAGGCATACAGAGTATAAACTACATCTTTATGGGCCTGTAAGAAGCGAACTGCCCAGAGAAAGAGTTAGTCCTGTTTGAGCTGATAACCTTTTGATGTAGTGCTGGTTTTAGGTGGTCTTGGGCTGGGGCACATTTGATGGTCCTACTGGCATTGTGTAGGAGCCAAGGGTAAGTAAAAAATGCCTGCATGCAAAGAATCAAGTTGTTGCAGTAAATTAATTGTTCGAAACCCAAAATATCAGCCGACTGCTTAAATAATTTTTTGGCCAAATTGAGTTTTCTCATTCTACTCTTCAGACCCTGCAGGTGTCACTGGCTCTGTCCTCAAGCAATCAGACAAATATGTACAGCCAAAAGCACAAACCCCAGTTTATTTTTGTATTCCCAAAACCCTTGAAAATATACATAGGCAATTATGCTATGAGGCTAATGTAAAGTAGAAGTTTAGCACCATTAACAAGTTAATAAACTGCAATCAGTACAATAGGCTAAAGACAACTGCATGAGAGCAGCGTTTATTTGGGGCAAGCCGTGCGCCCTTAAACAACCATCTTGCTTACTATGCTGAATTCATGTATTTCAAAGCTCAATGGAAGAACTCCAGACAGAATATGTGATGGGATGAATGTGTGTTGTACAAGGAGGGTTCGGTCGCAGTCTTTGAACCAGACAAACTTATCAAAGAGCAAATTTACAGAACTCAGGAGGTTAAAGGATAATCCTCTAGAGACTGAGTTGGCAGGTCGGCTCACAGAAAACTTTTGACGGTAGTTTTGAATTTTCATGAAAAATACACTCTTCAGTTCTGAGATAATCCACAATAAACAGACTCCCTGTTCCGCTGTGATTCCCTTAAGCCGTGCCGATTATTCCCATATCACAGCTTTGTTACGTTTGTCTGTCCGTCACCTGACATGCAACACAGAAAAAGTTGACTCTGGGAAATAATCCTCCTGAAAACTTTTGTTATCATTTTACACCGGGTTTGAAGGGAGGAAAACATGAAAGAAAGAAGGGATGGTGCAAGAAGGGGTAATGTAAAAGGTGTGCTGTCAGGATAAAGGCCCCATAGAAAAGAGGAACACTATGTAAAGAAATAGAGAGATGAAACCTGTCATAGTTGAGTAAGAATGAATAGGGAGGACGTAGCAGGGGAGGAAGATAGGGAAAGGTACAAGCTCAGTACAGAGACAGAAACCAGCACCAAAAACCAGGATGAAAGCAGTAAGTAAGTATCCATCAAAAAGAGGAAGAATGGGAGATAAAGCAGAGGAGAAGCAGACAAAAGTGAACACAGAAGAGGAGAGAGAGACAGTGAGGAGGAGAGGAAGGAAAAGAGGAGGGAGAAAGGGAATGGTATGGGGATTAGAGTCAGACAATGTTGACAGAGGGGAATGCAAATCAGAGCATTTAAATTAGAAGATAATCTGAATGACACAAGAAGGAAACTTCTTGTGGCAAAAGAAAATGCAACAAAATGTGTGTATGTGTATAATATTTACGTCTGTAAGGGTAAGTGTCTCTTTGTACTTTTCAGACTCCAATTCTACATAAAAAAACTAATTTTATAATCAGAAATTGTACTAAAAAGGTAACACACAAAGCAAATCCCCAATTGAACTGTTTCAACTAATGATGAATGAAGATTAATATGCTCTGAATCCTGACTGTTAAGCAACTACCTCTATGACAGTAAAAAGGACCTGACAGAGCAAATCAATCTAGGTTTGAAACCTGGGTATTACCTATCTTTTGCTCAATGCTATAAGATATAAATATTGTCAGTCTGGGTTAGTGCTGCCAAGATGGGAATTATTAATAAAATATTTATTTCTTTGTATGGAAATGCAACCCTCAACATTGTAGCTTGTCTATGTTTGAGAAGAAGTCAAATTGATTAAAATGTCCTTGGTCTTATGTTCTTCAATTTCAATTAGCCCATTAGTATTAGTATGTTAAGAGCATACATTAAAATATTTAAAAGCTTTTAATGATTGCAGTACACAAAGAACTCAAAACAGAGCAAAGATGCATGAAATCATCCCTCATTGTAATCATCATGTACTTTGAGAAAAAGTCAGATTATTCAATGTTGGGGTGTGGTGACCAGTGAAGGAGTTGGAGTGAGCCTGTGTGGTTATATTGAGATGATGATGAGGAGTAGAAGGTAGAGGGTGATAAACAGCAGCCGCCTGAGACACTGCACCGAAGAATAAAAGAGAAAGCCTGAGAGGAAGCAGATAAAGGGAGAATCTATTAAGGCCACAGGATGAGTCTGTCACACACACCACATCATCCCAGCTCCACACAGCCCCATATTAACACATGACATCCAGAACGCTGTAGTCACTCACTACGCCTGTAGTCACCAAAATCCTGACTGACAACCAAGCCTCCGGTGTTGCCCCTGACAACCATGACTCATGTGCACCAGTAGGGCAATGATGGAAGGTCCCATTGAGTGACCAAGGCAGAAGCCCCTGAAGCCCCGTTAATATAAATAACACAGCTTCATAATAAGTTACATTGGATTTAATCTAATGTTAATTCATATTACGGAAAAAAAGAGATAGAAAAGTTAACTATAACTTTATATGTTTTAGGAAGGAATATTTCTTTATTTTGTAATGAAAAAATATTGACCTTACACATAAGATTTGCCAGAGCTGGCAATAGCACAAAGATCTTGATCTTGAACTAGGCCTGTATTTTTACACTGAATATTTTTACACACTGGAAATGCACTCAGAGCTCATCATAATGTGCAATGTGCACTATGGTGCACTCAGTAAGACAGACAGGAACCTCTAACCTCCTGTGCAATGCACTGATACACACTTGCACACATGAACAGTATTTAGAAGTGTGAGAGAGAAAGAGAGCACAGGGATCATTTGGCAAAGATCCAGATGACCTTCCTGATGCAGGTCTTTCCATTTATATGGGCTTGGTGCAGTGTAAAGAATACACTGGATTGATATTTTCTCATCAATAGTATATCAAGAATATGAAAAAATCTAGGACTGCCCTATATTCATGTCCACAGAGTGGTTTGATCAAAAAGTGTCTGAACTTCCATTATAAAGATGTGGCACAGCCCTCATGCATGGATTCATGGCCTGGTCATTCACATCTCGGCAGAGCCCAGAGAGAAATGGAAATTACATCATTTCCTGATGTAATGTTTGCCATTATCTCGTCTTGAGATGCACAGAAGAAGAGAGAAACACATGAATGACAAGGCCCACACATCTGCTCCGGCACGGGGACAGAATCACTGCTCATTTAGATTCAAAGACGCGACTGGTGCAGAAACTGTCGAGTCAGGTGCTTCACAAAGCATTTGTGTAAGAGCCAAGAAGAAGAAGAAGAGCTTTTTATAATGACACAAACACATGAGGCCAAACTCATGGACCGCTTATGGGTGAGACACAGATTGCATTGCTATATGCATCTCATTGTAACAGTGTGGTGCATAAGCTTGTGCAGCTAGTTTTACACAGGAAGCACTAAACAGGCTGATTCATCATCTCTGCCTCAGCATATGGATGTGATGAGGCGGGAGGGAGGGGACCTGCTCTGTTCAGATTTCAATCCTCCTTTATTTAGAGGAAGGATAAAAATAAATATGATAAGGGCAAACTATAAACACAACAGGAGTCACTTTCCTTCCTGAGTGTGTGTCTCCAGTGAGATCCTTAAATAAGAACATAGTGCATTATCAACCTGCTAATGCAATGTGTTGTTTTATTTTTCAACATTCTACATTAAAAAACTTATGCTACTTGTCAAAACTACTATTTCCAAATCGAAAGCATTAAGTGGTTTTAAATGTAATGATCCACCAATCTGTGCAGAAGCAGCCTGGCCTCTCTCCACCCCTCCAAACAAACTAGTGTCATTTGGAAACGCATTCATTCAGGCTGCCAGATAAGAGCTGAGGCTTGAAATTAACAGGTCGATTTGGGGCTCATCTGACCTGCAAGTATCAGGTCTTTCTCTTGTCAGTGACGACATCTTTGATCTATAAAGACCTCCATTACACAGCAGTCATTGGTGCTCAATAAATACCTGTCTGCTAGCGCCCATATGCACAGCACCAGAGCTTAGAGAACCATTGCATTTATTAAGCAGCTTGAGCTGGCTGCCATGTTTGATAGGTTACACTTTGACACACATGCTGCACAGAGCGGTATTGATCTGAAGCCTCTCATCTGTACACTAGATTAGTCTATCAGAATGTGAAAGTGCTAGTGCTGAATCTGCTCACCTTCATTAAGCATCTGTCAGAGTCGTTAAGGCTCCTGTCTCTGTTGCTTGTTGCGTTGTGGGTCGTTAGCTGCACTAGCGCTCATTAACTATCATGGCTTTGCTTGTTATGGGAAGAGGGAAGACTACAGTCCCTTAAGGCTATGGAGAAAAAGCTATAGAAAGATCTGTTACACTGGCTAGAAATAGCCACTAGAGACAGCAATGAGTGGAGACAAGGGAGGACTTGAGAACATAAGGTGGACAATGGACTGTGTCTTCTTTAGGTTTTACTTGGATTTTTGCAGCAACAGTAGCTTCACCTATGTGTACCCTTCCTCAGCTGGGAATATTTCTGCCACATTTTGATCCCTCTAATATTGATTTGATGGTTTAACCTTGCACCAATGTATTTTAAGATTCTACAATCAGTGGAAGGATTTTGGTAATTTATTTAAAATGAGGTTTTCCTAATAACAGCATTGGCAATTACAAGACACAGGTTTGACTCATCAATATCTACCAGAAAAAATATATATATATTGCAAAAAAGCTCTTCCAGAGATGGACCATTCAGTACAATCATCTGCCAAACTACCTTTTAGGGCTGCATAATTAATCGCAATCAAATACAAATTTGAAAAGAAATAATTAGATAATCACAAAGGCTGCAAAATTTTGAAGTACCATCATTTCCTCCTCAAACAACTAAATATCTATTGTTTCTTTTGCTGGTATGTTTTGAATTAAGATTTTTTGTATTAGTTTGTGGGTCTTTTTCTACATTCCTCTGAAATGTTTCTACATTTTTTTTTCTACTTTGTCAACTCTGTTAACACTCTAATTAGTTTTATTTATTTATTCATTATTTTTCTCAATTTGTTCAGCCCTACTAAATATGCAAATAACTGAATAAATAAAACATTCATAGACAACCTTCTATGAAAGATGTGATCATTTGTAAGTTTTTAAGTGGGTAAATTTAGACAGCAAATTCAAATGTCCATGATAGACCATGTGCCAACACACCTAATGACTGCAACTAACCTAACTAACCAAATGAGAAGAATGTTGACCCTGTAAACTGACAGATTATGAAATATGACTTGCTACTGCATCCTTACACTGAAATGGTACACTGCGGACTGTGGACAGTTTCCTATACATTAGCGGCGTATTGATGTTCCTTTTTATATCCTGCTCTATGATGTCACAGGAGCAAGTCTGGCCAGAAAACAGGTCAGTGGACTTTATGATGGATCGGGTCGAGTGTCTGCCTCGACTGGGAGATCTCTCCACTCAGCTCAATGTTACATCATGGGCATTAATTGAAGCGATACTGACAGCAACTATTTATTTATTTATAGGGCACTGGGGTGTCAATCTGCTGCATGTGCTACAAAAACACTCTGGACTTGAATACAAAGAAAACAAGTACAAGTCCTATGCATAAATCATTGCTTTTTACATAGTTTGAATATTAATGTGTGGCATGTTGGGTCCACAATGTCAATGTAATGTATTGGTAATACATGGGAACTTTATGTGTTTATGTGCGCTGGGTAATTAATTCTGCCTCTAGTATTTAAACGCTTAAGCTGAGCCTGGGGTTTAGTCACTTTGGATATTAAGTAAATCTCACCATGAGACTGGTGTATGTTTTAGTATTAGCTGCACCGCTGCATCAGACTAATCCTTGAGCTAACACTGCACTCTCGCTCTTGCACACAGTGTTTAATATGGACAGTAGACATCCCCAAAGAGTTCCTGAATTTGATTACAATTTATTAAAGTGGTCTGCAGTGAGCTTTGTCTTTGCTTCAACAAGTAGCCTACTTCACAGATTCTCATTTCAATATGAACCTGAACCCATTTCATACAAATTTTAAGGCTTGTTTATTGATGTGTAAATTAATTCCGATATTTGTTTTATTAGGCAGATAATTGTTATTATAAACCTTGATTTGAACAAACTTGTATCAAAGTATTGTGCTTGTAAAACTAGTTAAATGTTACAAGTTATAAATAATAGCATGAGCACAACTGCTACAAAGAACAATGTTTAGACCATTGAAAAATAATTAGATTTTACAATCAAATTATTGTACAAAATGCATCATGTTCCAAAGTGAAAAAGAATTAAAATTTAATGAAAAGGTTCTTTTGTTGTGATCGAGCGCTGCTTGTGCATCAGCTGCTGTATTGATCTGAGATTGATTTGCAGCACAGCAACAGAATGCAGCTTGGTGGCACTGGCACACTCACACTAAAGCCAATTACTCACTATGGGACAAAAGAAAACTGCTTTTTGTCATAGTAAATGCCAAGGGCTGGAGAGACACAGCATTGTTCCGCAACAGCCCAAACATTAAAATATTTAAACACAGTTACATTTGAATAAATTAATTATCTTAAAACTCTTTCTTAAATCTATGTTCATTCAAAGCTCTGTATCATAAGTTATTTGGAACAAGTGAAACAAATTTCAAGTAGAACTTGTGCATAAGGAGCTTCACACACAGAGGTCTATTGAGGTTGACCCTTATCCTAAATTATCCTTTTTATCAATTAAGTTAGACTTTGTGTTCCTGCCGTCAGAGGAACAGACGCTGATAAGATGTCATTGTGGGAATGCACACAAAGCTATGAATAAAATAACGAATGTATCAGCAGCAGGCTGTTCCCATCAGCACCACAGGGAGGGAATCTGACGTGGAGAGGCTTGTTGCAAAGGATTGTGGGAATTCATAAAGAGGGGTTTCAAGGTGTGTGGCTTCTCTAAGTAGAGCACATAGAGCGAGAGCAGTGCCTCAGTTAATCAATGTTGTTGGATGTGAAGCTCTGACCTTTCCAGTAAGACCACCTGCTGCTACTGAAGACTCGGTGGGAGGAGCTGGGTGGCACTGAGTACAGGGTGAAAGTGGTGAGATGGGTGACAGAGGTGTATGTTGAGTGACTGTGCAGTGTGTTTGAATGATCACGGTGTGTTTAAATGATCGCAGAATGTGTTTAAATGATTGCGGCGTGCGTTTGAATGACAATGTGTGTGTTTGGTGAGTTGTGTGGTCGGTTACCTTTTCTCTCTGTGTAAGGTGTATGAGCTCCTGAAGAATCCCAACAGCTCGTCCTCGATGGCTGCATCAAAGCTGATATTGAGTCGATACAGCCTCATTGGCTTGAGTTCCCGGTGCAGGACCACCACATACATCTGATTAAGTGGAAAGGCAAAGTGGCGATGGATGCGCATAACTCCGCCCCCTGGTCTGTTTGTGAGGCGTCCACTGCCACTGCCCTCCGCGGATACCGAGACCCGGTCCACCTGCATAAAATACATCATTAGACTTTTAGAGAGGTACAATATAAGGCTGATTAAATACAGGGTCTGAACATTTCAATGCCATATCAACTCTTCTCTTCCACCACCATAAAAACTTCTTAAAGAGCGAGCCATGGGTCTGTGATACTGGGATGGTTTATTCATGGATAGGATTTGAAAACATGTCTTAAGCCCTGTTTTCAGCAGCCCACGCAGCTCTACTCTACTCAGCCCTACTTGACCTGGTTGTTTCCATTACTCTGTAGATTCTGGTATCGTACCCATGGAAACTGCCTACAACAAATCAATGCAATAAATGTGGTATCCATGGTACTAAAAAGTATCTGGTACCAATTAGGAACTGGGTTAGACAGAAGGGCTAGTTAGTGTACTTTGAATATCCCTACAGGTGAGCTAAATGTGTGCACAAATGAAATCACAGATATTTATATATATATATATATATATATATATATATATATATATATATATATATATATATATATATATATATATATATATATATATATATATATACACACTAACCATAGCCAACAATTTATAACAATTTACATTTTTAACTATTGAACTACCAATGCACAACTCTGCAGTGAGCACTCAATAAATCTAAATGATGAACTCTATACCATTTATAGGGTCTATTGGCAATATTTTCTCTGAGACCTAACAATGCAGCATTGTAAAGATGATGACAAAGAAGCTGCCTAGCCTCTCTGCTGTCCCCTGTATCCAGCCTCAGCACCCACAGTAAGCCCTGTGTCTAATTCCCTGGGGAGAGGTTGTCAACAGGCTGGCCACTTTCTGCAGTGTTCACTTTAATGCAGACCCCTGGGAAGAGACAAGGTCAAAGCCCCAATCCAAATAAGCACATATCCACATCTCTGCACACATAAAGTTGACTTACACTTGAGCGGGAAACAGTAAATTTACTGACCCAACAGGAAAAGCAAACCTTACACTACAGGAGCAGAAAACTTTTGAGGGACGTGCCATTCACATGAGCCCCACACACAGCTCTCAACAATCAACAAAATAAATCAAACTCTACTCGGGTTGACTGATTTGCAGCAGTTTTGATGCTTCTGATTAAAGCAGTTGCTAAGCAACACCTGACTTTCTTCCAGATCCAGGACGTGGGACCTGTCGCCAAGTTTATGTGACAGAAACCAAATGCAGAAACCAATAAAGGCTTGTTTGTGGGTATGTAAAACTATAATAAAATGAAATAACAGCAATCAGGGCAGATTTGCAGTAATTTATATACAAAATCTTGTGTCACCTTGCTATAATCTTAGACCATGATGAAAAACACATAGTAATTCAGTATTATCTAACAGTATTCTGGAGATAATGAGTAGATGTACATGAGAAAAGTGAGAAAATCTAAGAAGATAAAGTGAATGTAGTAATTATAATCAATAAAATTTGAAACCTCTATAAAAGCAGTGACAAGCAACTAACAAAAAAAAAAGAAAAAAAAGAAAATGCCACTCACACATCAAATCCCACATTGTAATGCCAAACTCTAATCTGGATAAGTACAGGAAGAGACTGAGGTTTGTTTCTAAAACAAAAATTTGTGAAGAAAGAACAGAGTCAGTTGAATACATTTATCACAGCCTACATGGAGAAATCAGCTATAGTCCATCAGTGCATTTGTGTACAAAAGAAAAGGTCACAATAACACTGCAGCTTCCTTCTATGAGTGTAACCGCTCTTTACAAAAGCCACCTGTTGCATGGCAGGTGTTCAAAACAAAAGCCCTTTTCAAATAAAACTACCATTTATTTGCTATTTGTCCGACATAATCTACTGTAATTACTTGTTTATGCAAATGTCTGTGGCCACTCGATTCAATTTTGAATGCTATTCCCTTTGATGCCTAAACAAAATCACATTTATAGTAAAGACTGTCTGTAGACAGTAAACAGTCTCATTATGTCTATTTTGGACTGTTGTTCACATTTTAAAAAAAGAAATCTTTTAAAAAGACAATTACAGTGTGCCGTAGAGCTAGTTATTTGTTTGGACTACATGTACATAATCAGTTGCATTCGTTGTAAATGTTTAGACTTTGTGTCTCCTTATCCTTACTCGGTCAAACAGTATCCTGATTGTTAAATGTGGGAACGTGGTTTGTTTTTTGATGAATGAGCTGATCAATTTAAAGAGAGAGCCCACTGACACACAGGAAACCTGGAGATTATATCATGTTTATATATAGATAGATTTTAAAATTCTTTAATTGGTTTATAAAGCTCTTAATGGTCTTAGTCCTATTTATTTTTCTGATCTGCTTTTAACATATGAGCCCTCTCGGACTCTCAGGTCCTCAGGTAGTCATCTTTTAACTGTCCCAAGACTCCAAACTAAAACTCACGGTGAGGCGTCATTCAGCTTTTACGGTCCCCGTTTGTGGAACAGTCCATCTGAGGATCTGAGCTGTGAGTGTTCATATTTTTAAAAGTAAACTCAAAATATATCATTTTAATTTAGCTTTTAATTGAAACTTTTACCTGTTTTAACTGAAATTATCATTATTATTGTTATTATTATAGTTGTTTTAAATTAAATTATCATTACTATTTTACTTAGTCTCCATCTGATCTTAGCGCTCCATTTTCATTTTTATTATAACTTTTAAGAGCTTTATGTTTATGTTTTATGTTTCTGTTTAAATTGTTGCATATATGTAGGTAATTTTTCTGTTGCGTGCTACATTTCAAATGTATGAAAAGTGCTATACAAATAAAGTTTGATTGATTGATTGAACTAATACATACATATACATATATATATGTGTGTGTGTGTGTGTGTGTGTGTGTGTGTGTGTGTGTGTTCCAAGTACAGCACTTTTCTTAACTATAATGTCTGATGTTTTTCGTGGGATCTCCTCCAGTTTGGGGGTTACTGCCCAAGTGCTCCAATGACCACGGGCACCACTCCAGCTCTTTTTTGAGCTTCTAGTATTTTTCTAGTTTTACTTGGTATTGCACCACAACGGCTATGCTCTAGAATCAGGTAATGAGCCAATCTAAAGAAAGTTACAAGTATTGCTTTAAGTCTTTCTCACAAGATTTGTTTAGTGCATTGAAGCCTTCAAATGTACTTTATGGCATTGCTAAATATGCTCTATAGACATGAAATTTTACTGAAAAAATTAACTTCTTTAGGTTCATCAGGTTGCCAGAACAAAATTCAGAGCTCATGTGTTTGTGGTGCTTACATAAAAGGTAATCTAAGTTTTTATAGCTTCTTTCCTGGTTACAGGGTCTATTTTATGCTCCTGTTTGGCCTTTTACTATTTTTAATTGGCTTCTGACCATATTAGAGAGATTTATTCTGCCCTCACATTAGCCAAAATGACCGGTCTGAAAAATCAGGGTGCTCAGGCATTTCTCAGAGGCTTTTCCCTCAACACACGCTCGTCTTGAAAATTGAGCTGAAACAGCAACTTTGGCGGTTAATTAGCCTCCTCAAGAAATCCTCTAAGGCCAAATCTGAAAATAAACACCCTTTGTTAAAGACTGTTGTTTTCAACATCACAAAGATGCACACTTCATATATGAAGGTGAATAATCTGCAATGATCTCTCTATTAACAGTCCAATTTTGAGAGTAGAAAAATTAAGATGTAAATTATTTTAAGTTGTTAAATTTTAAATACAAAATATAAATGTTAAAAAAATGACAATTCATATTTATTTTAATTTGATGAAATTGTGTTTAATTTTAGATTATGATCTTTTACAGTTATGATTCTCGAACTGTTTAGTGTCACATTTCCAGGTGCCATGAAATTCATGTACACGAGTCAGTTTGTGAATGTATTATATATGTGTTGCGTAGCCTTGTGCAGAGATAGTGTTGTCATTTCCACTTTCATTAAGCCCTCCTCTGAGATATAATCACCAGAGCACAACAGCACAGTTGTGTCACCAAACAATCAGCGGCTGCTGCTGATTTGGTGTGAAGCTCGCCACACTCTAATTAACATCAGAGTGATTATCTTGTGAATGTCACCAGTAAAAAAGGCATGCAGTTTGATTATGGTGCTTAATACCTCCAGGCGGTCAGTGTGCAGCACAATGAAGCGCGTGGCGTTGACACACTCTATCTCAATGCTGACATCTCCGGAGAAGGTGAAGTTGTCCATGCACACAGCCAGCCGCAGCTCGTAGTGCCTTGGCCGGAGTGTCCCGGGGAGACGGGAGCTCCTCCAGGGCTGTACCTCCTCCTCGCCCCTGTCCCCCGCTCTGTCTCTGCTCCCATTGAGTCGAGCTGAGCCTCCAGCAGCCCGAGAGCCCAGCTCAGGAGGCCCATCTCGAACACTGCACTCTTCATAGCGCACGCTCAGCACCACGGCCACTGCAGTGACGATGATGAGGGTGAGGATGGACAGGGCAAAGCCCAGCACCAGTTTCTTGTGCACAGTGATGTGGCGCTCTGTTGTGCGGGGCCGAACCACCACCGACTCAGCCCACTGGTCAGAGAGGCCTCTGCCATTGCGCATGGCCCCTGGGCTACTGTCGTTCAGTCCCATTTAGTCAAAGTCAAAATGTCACTTGATGTATATGATAAGATAAACGTTTTCACAATTTGTTTCTCCTTCACTCATTGAGTTGAGTTCATTGAGTCGCCCGTTGTTGTTACTGACAGTTTTATTTCTAGTGTTGACCTTTGACCTACAGCATTATGAATGTCCTTCAGCACAGACTCGAGATGGGAAACACACACCAGTGTGCATCTTATACCATGGCCAACAAAACTGACAAGGGAGAAAGAATGAGATAGTTGCGTGCATTTTGGCTTTATAGTGAGTAGGAAAAAAATCAATTGCTCATGGCTCAATTTCAAGTGTAGAGGTGGAGGAGGGAGGGAGAGGAGAGGGGGGTGGAATACTGTTAAGGATGTGGCTATACAGTGAAAGTACCATCCATAGACTTTCAATGGTAGCTGCTGGCAAGGTAAAGAAAACTCTTGTAACCAGAAGCAAGTAACAGGCAGATTCAACAGGGGGTCATGCTCTATTTGCTACAGTCTGCTGACTTTGTCATCTGAGAGTCACTTTTTAAGCTAACAAAAAATCATGTTAATTAGAATACAGGCAAATTCAGTTAAAATACTTATTAGTTTAGTGACCCTGAACTAAACGAAAGTTGAGTACTTAAAAAAATAAATAAATAAAAAGAAATAATAATATATATATATTTTTTTTTAAGATTCAAATCCAGCAATCTGTTATTTTCAAAATTTACCACGTAGGACAAAATTAAGCACGATAAGATCTGAATGTCACAGAGCGGTAACAAACACGCTTCAGGGTACAAGAGATTTGACTTGCCGTTATGGCCTTAATAAAGACGCTGAGTGGCTCTCTGTGTGTGCCCATGTATCTGTCTCAGCCCCTCTCCGTCTCTTGAGGGGGTTAAGTGGATAATTTACAAGCAGCATGTGGGTTTATTTCAGCGTGCAGCAGATAATTCATTCCGGATATTCCGTGGGGCATAAACGATCCCTGCTTTACAGCTAAACGGGTTGATGGATGAAAAGGATCGCAAGTGACTGAACGAAGATACAGGCCAATAAAAACAATTCTTGTGGAAAGGAACGGAGGATCTTGGAGGGACCCAAAAAGATATCAGATCTGTTAATGAGATGAGGCTAGCGATAATGACTCGACTCTCCTCATCGACGTTCCGGGACAAAGTCCGATCCTCTTGATGCGTAACGGCGGAACTTCTCCCGGTCTACCTCCTGGGGGAAGGCACGCGCTCGAAGCCTGTCTGCACCTGCGGCCGTGTAGGCTACGCCTGACTTTGACAGCGCTCCTCTTGTAATTGCCACAATTAACAACTATGTGGATGCTGAGAAGAGGCTAGTGTCAGTCACTGACAGGTCCACAAGGAACTGATGGAGATCAAACAACGCAGCGCCTTTAAAGCACAAACCGCATCATAGGCACCGCTAAACACTGAGTAGGTTGAGTGACCGAAATAGCGCGCAGAAAAGGCACAAGTGCCGTAGAAGTGGTCTGTGGGTTCGTGCAAAAATAACCCAGGGATCCCTGCGCAACGTCAAACCTGGCGTTGAACACCAACCGCTCACCAAAGGCAACCCAGTGATTCCAGAAATCCTTCAGGCATCGGGACATCCACACGGTCCACGGTGGAAATAGTCTGTGCTGCTGCAGCCCCCATCATTCGGATGCTCCAGAACTTTTCAGCCTGCGAAGAGCTCCGGTCCTGCAGCGAGGAAGAGCACGATGACAGTGCGTGGTGTCGGAGATGAAGAAGTAGTTCTCTTGACAGCGCTCGTTTTCTTCTGGGAGGAAGTAGGAGGCGCACTGCACACCGAGGCGCTCTACCGCGTGCGGTTTGAGTCTGAGCACGAGCTGTTTCTGCTGCTCCTACCAAGTGGCACGCGCTGTCAGAGAGGAGAGCGCGAAAGAAGAGAGGAAGGGAGAGAGGCAGGGAACGCCCACCGCGCTTCACAAACTCCAGTAGTTGTACGAGTCCGAATATTAAATGCATCTTTGAAAAATGAGAAGCCTAAATAACCAACCTATAAACTGCGTTCGCATGATATCATAGCATTCTAGACTGTCTATAGGTTAAAACTAAGATGGAGGACAATTTACAGATGATAGTAGGCCTATCAAAATCCAGATGTTCTTTCCTGGTTTATTGTCAATATATCTGGAATTATTGGGCCTTTGCACATGAAACAAAAACTGACATAATCCTCAATGTCAACAGAATGATATGAAAAGGGCTAGTGGCGAAGTTTTCACGCACACCAAAATCTGATTATTAGCTTATTTCTGGAGCTTTAAAATGATGCTACTTAAATTACATGCAAACTGCAAAGTCTGATTTGTGTAATCAGAAAGAAATTAGATGCATTTGTTGTTTACATGTCACATCTTATTAATAATCTGATAATAATCAGATTTTGAGTGTGTGTGTGTAACCACAGCCAGTGTCACTCATCTGGGTTTGGTCCATAGTAGAAAAGATCTCTAAATAGGCATATCCTGTGTGTGACCTTGATAGTTGGGATTTGTTTTACTAATATTTGGCTTAACTTGGAATTAAAAATACATTCATCATGTTGGAAAAGGTACTGTCTCTTGATCTTATTGTGGCTAAAACTCTAGTCCCAAGATGGTCTGACCAAGATTCAACACACACACACACACACACACACAGATATATATATATATATATATATATATATATATATATATATATATATATATATATGAGAGAGAGAGAGAGAGAGAGAGAGAGAGAGAGAGAGAGAGATACATACATACATACATACATACATATATGACCATGCTTTTCTCTGACTGAGTACACTGACTGTCAATCATGACCACCTCAAGTCCCGGAGAGGAAAAGTGTACAGTGTATCACAAAGACACATTAGCTAGAAAGACATCACATTATACCTGCTGATATATGCTTGTTTTTCTTTCTATTCTTTTTGTTGGTTTGGTGTGCAGCCTTATCTAGAGAGTGCCATTAACTTAGAGTCCGGTGTCTGCCTCTCTGCGTCTGTGTCGTCAGCCATTTCTCTCATACTTAATAAACACTTAAGTTCTCCTCCCGACTCTTCACAGTTACTCTGCTCATTTGTATTCATGGTCACTACACCACCAGCCAAGTGTGATGAATATATTACCCTTTTCTGGATTAGAATGGTGTTTTCAAAGTAAAAACTAAATTGTTCCAAATTATTTAGTTGTTTCTCTGAGTTAAACTAGCTAAATCTTCTTTATTTTTTTATATCATAACATTAGTCCAATAGATAAAATCCAGATATTGCAATAGGTCTTTGGGCAGATGGATTATTTACAGTTTACAGTTAAATTCAGAAGATTTCTGTGTATTTATTTTTCCATTGATTTGAGATTCTTCACACAGCCTCGTGTGAGCCAGTAGCCACTGCAAACAGTGAGAAGCTTTGCACTATAATCTGCCAGTGTCATTCACGCACATGTTCCTCAGATTTACTGTACATCTTTGTTACCTTCTGTCCACTTATTTATATGTATCTCTAACAGGTTGTAGGAGAAACAAAATAGGTACTGACACATTTTATGCAGAAATAACACAGAATCCAAGAAATAAATTAGTTATCCTAAACTGTTGCAAACACAGTCTTTATATACACTATGTATAACAAATAAGAAGAGTCATAGCATTAACCACAATTATTTATTTGGACCAAATATGAAACAGCACAAACATATTTTTTAATGTTTTTTAACTCAATGAACTTCATTTATCAGGAGAGAAGTTAGTGCTTGACATTATTTTATAAATATATTTATAGAATATGACAAAAATACAGTAAGAAAGACAGAAATGTTGCCTTAACTTATAAAATATTCAATGTTTTTGTTGACCTACAAATATATATATGGTGGTATACAGTTCTTGGTGGTGTTCAGCATTCGCAGCCACACCTCAACAGTGTTTTAAAACAGATTATCAGGGTGTAGGTACAAAACTCTGGGTTTCTTAAAATAACTTTGTATTTTCCATCACTATGGGATGTTTAAATATTTAAACATTTTCTTGTAAATATAATGATCTACAGCTGGTTAAGTCCAGTCTGGTTGAAGGTCAGATATCTCTATAGGTGACAATAGCAATCCTCTTCCTCATCACCATTCAAATGGCCAGCTGTTGGCCAGCCACTGACCCAACTTGCTCACCGTCTGATTGGCTATCACATGATCCATTAATTTCACAGTGTCGACTGAGCTGTGCTCCCTTTGCTGTATGATATATTTAGACACCTGTTAATGTGTGTTCTCGTCTACATAATGTTAAAAGCCTATATGTTTTGTCAGCTTTCTGTCCTGTTCAGTGGAGCTAAAAGGGTTATCTCCATCTGTCAGCAGCTATAGTGCCCAGAGAAAAAGGCTTAAATATTAGCCAGAATACCCATAATTCACTTGGGTAAACGAAAAACATTTCATTTGAAGGAAGTAATTGCTTGTGCTCTTTTGGTTTCAGATCTTATTCTCAAGTGTGTAGTTATTGCAATTCAATTTGCAAATTAGCAGCCACAAAAAATCTAATTATTGAATCTAATTAAAAGGAAGTGAGTGAAGCTTGTGACTTATCGCTCACAGAGAAGTTTTTTGTTTGAATGAACTATGTTTATGTGCACTCAAACAGGTGGAAACTGAATACATATAAACAAACGTAAGGAAATGTTTCTAATGCGCTGTATGGATATTGATATAAAGGCTGGAAAATCACGCATATGCAACACAAACATTTTTTTAAGGCAATGCACAGCTTTGATCAAGCAATGATCATGCACGCCAGTATTACACATTCATTTTGCTCTAAATCAATCTCCAAGACCTATAATATGGAAGGAAGCAGATATTTGTCAGAAATCCAAATAGGGCAAATAGGAAGATGGTTGAGAATTCCATCACACATTTTAACAATATCATCAGGACTAGGCAAGTATGTCTGTCTCCAAAAATAAGTGTGTGGGTCATTGTGTCCAGCA